TTATTGAAAATGCAGGAATTTCTTTAATGTGACTAGAAAAACAAATATCATTATAAAGTCCCATGTTAGTACCAGAGTATTCAAATTTAAGTATCATTTATGGAACCTACATAAATATAAAAGTGGAGCGTATCCACCTAACTTTGTTTACCTATCTATTTATTATCACATCAGTCATGTTAGTACTTTATTTGCACAATTTCAAAATAGTGTTGTAATACAGCTTTACTATTATGGGCCATTGTTTAATATCTGAGACTAAAGTTGGTATGAAAAAATAATTCACTAGATATGATTATTATATGGAGTTCACAAAAGGAAAAGAGAAACAAGATGAGTGATAAAGGTGCTCCATGGTAGTAAATATCCTAGATTCCAGTGGGAATATCCTAGATTCCAACCTTACAGATGTCCTTTGAACCTTTTCTCATCCCCACTATAACCTTAGCTGAAGGCTAACAGAAGAATCAATCAAATAAGAATAGAAGCTAGAGCACCAACAGTCACAGTAATAGTATAGCAGTTACATTATGGGTGTATATTCAATAAATATTTTTGGTATATTACCTAGCAAACAAGACACTCAAGTCATCTCATTTGAAATTTAGAGCAGAGAAGCATTAGAAAATAACTGTTTGGTGGCAGGTATGTCTCACCAAGCCAGAAAAGACAAAACAGGAAGGCAGCTCAGAGCTTGTCTTTTCCCCTTCCACAGTATTTGTCCTCCAAATGCAATTTCCAGCTGGTCTCAGAAAATCAACTGCTACAGATAAATTGGCATGTGTTCTCCAAATTCCTGTCCTCCAGACTGAGCGCTGTTCAGACCTCTATAGAGAATGAGATAAAAGTCACAAGAGAGGAGGAAGCAAACTAGCACCACTGAATTGTGTTTATCTAACCTCTGTCTTGGCTGCATGTCAACAGTGTTTGCTACACATGTGACCCTTGAATTTACTGGCAATGTGACGACATGTGCTTTATTTTTTGGCAATAATATGTGGCTGTGTGAGTAGGATTGTGCTGATGATTGCTCTCCAGTGAGGAGGAGGACAGAAGAAAATGACATTGTAGCTTTCCATCAATATGCTGGGGAAACACTGTGGTAACTTGTTGAAGTTACCACAAATTCCTCTTATTTTAATATATTCATTTTTTATGATGTGGCTTGATGGCATATTCTATCTGCTTGTTGTGTTTCCTTGACCCTCAACAGCCTAAGAAGACTTTGGGGCTTGTTGGAAAGACAGACTATAGTGAAGTAATCACCAGGAAGCTGAAGAACTTCAAGAAACCCTCTGGGGAGGCTGCACCAAGATACCTTTGGGGAAGGTGACGTGAAAAAAGAGTTCCTATGAAAGACAGAGAGAGGCACAGGTACTTGAGCTTCTCTGGCTACAGTTGATCCTAGGTGCCTGGCAGCTGAATGCAGACCAGGGGAGAAGCCCAGGACAGACCAGCAGGAAAACTGCAAGTCAATATCTCAAATCCTGGGAATAATAGATAGATTTTTTGAGGTTCAGAGAGGTTTGTAATGAAGCAATATATAACGGAAACTGAGGCCAACAAATGTAGCTGACTCATCCTTTTTTTTTCTTTTAATTTAGAAAGGAAAGTTAAGGTCACAGTTGGAAGTGACCTAAAGAGATGGTTTTGGCCTCTGTATTTCAAAAATTTATGGGGTTAACTGGAAAGTTACTAAAGATGATTTTTTAAATTCTCAACTTGGAGATTCATTTCTTTTAACTGGAAAAAAATTGCTAATTTCACAGGGAAAGAAAAGCCAAAAAGCTGACTTTAAGTATTATTCTAATATGATTTAACACTGAATTATAAATTTGATAGTTCAATATTAAATAACCTTTAGAGTTCTCCCCTTTCCCCAAGAAAATCCAACAGCATTTGCAAAAATAGACACAGTAATTTTTATTTCTCTAAAAGTTTTTAGTAAAACAAAATAAAACTTTATCATCAAATTATTACCAACACCTTAGCTGAGGTCACATGCTTAAGGATAGCTCAAATTCCTTAATTTTATTTACTAATCCACATTGGAAACATCAAATATTCCTCAATTTTATTCATATACTTATCATGGTGCTTATTTATTTTTGTTGATGAGTTTACATGTGTTTATAAAATGTTAAATAATTCCTAAATATAATCATAAAGGCCATTTCCATAGAGAACACTGACTATATGGTTGTTTTCTCCTATTTTCCTATGTATCAAAATTCGGGCAAACATTTCATGAGACTGTGTCAGTTTAAAACACCAAAAATTTCTATTATAAAGTCTTCCCAAGGTGCCTGTGGTGAATTAGGGAAGAAATATATTTGTACTTAAGTTCAAATATAATGGTGAAACCCGACTGTAAAGCCGGCAGAGTTGCCATAGCAGCCACCCACAGTCACACACACACACAAAGAGGTGCTGGGGAAAGAGAGAGGCAGAGCGGAGCACAGAATCTATTGTTAAAAAGACAGAAGTACCCATAAGTGTAATCACAAGCAGGGATCCTAACTTTTATTCTGAGCCACCTTTAAGAACAAAAGATTTCTCAATGTCACCGTGTTTATTAAATGATTAAATGATTTATTAAATGATTTCTTTAAACCCTCTTCTATCTGCATTCTGGCTTTTAAACCTTACTAGCTGCTGAAACTATGCAGGAGGATGTGGAAATTCAGCAGACCATGCAGGTATTATAGCTAACAGGATTAGGGTTACACAGTCTGGAACACTTAGAATCATTGTAGAGAGGGTAAAGAGTGTTCTATGGATCAGAGCAAGTTACTTCACTTTTTAAGTGTCCTCCCCTGCAAAATGGGTCTAATAAGAGCACATATGTCAGAGAAATGTTACAAAGATTAAATAAAAATAGCACAAATAATAAATTAATAAATTAAAAATCTGTAAGAGTAAAGCTAAAACAATACCCAGTATATAGTAAATGTTCAATAAATATCTATTATAATAATTATTGTTAATTAATTATTACTGTTACTACCCTGAAGCTTTTACTACAGACTAGAACAGTATGGTCTATAATGTATAAGTTGCTAAAACATATGCAAACAGTTGGGCAGCAGATCAGGGGAAAGATATTAATATTCTTCCAGTAACTGAGCAGATAACATCTTCACACATAGCTATGTCTTTGAAACACTATTTCAGTGGACTAAAAAGGCAAAGTATTTTGTTATAGTTACATATTCACCACCTCTGGAGAATGCTGGTTACATAGAAAAATCTAACATCTATCAGTGCTAAAATATTTATGCAACAGTAGTTGGGGCCAGAGAGCATTTTGGAATTTGCTTTCCATCATGTGCTTCAGCACATATCTATATGCAGATATATTTGCAATTCACATACAGATATAAAGGTAAACATCAGATTTTGAAGTAATGGCAATGAATGCAAAGTATTCTGTGACTTCTCACTCATTCTTAATCTGCATTTTTAGGGCTGAGTACTTCATGTTCAGCAAAAGTGAAGCTTGTAGTCAACAGAGTTAGTGAATAGGAAAGAATATGCATGGGTTAGCATATTTCATATAAGGCTCAGAAGTACCTAATAATGTGTAGGAGAAAGTAAAGCTCAGGAGCTAAGAAATAAGAAGAAATGAAAGGAATGGAGCTGGCAAGCCCAGTGAGAGGGCAGGAAGAAAGCTGAAAGAAACAACTTCTACAAGACAGTAGGTAGAGGAAGAGAAAATGGAGAGGATAAAATTGAATACTGAACCCCACACAAATTTTCCTGATGGGATTTCTTTTTTTTTTAAATCAGGGCAATAAGAAATGAAGTAACTTGGCTTATTTTTTTTTAAATGTTAAAATGCACATCCTATGGCTTCTAAAGTTAGCTTACCATTGTAACAGTGATGTGCAATGTTATAGTTCCCCTTTTAAATTGCTCTTCCATTCCATAACCTTTATTTCCATTCTCAAGAAGTAGTGTCACAGGGCATCACTATAGATTCTCTCTGCTCCCAGTGAGCCTGCCATGACTGTATTAGAAATTTTTCCATCATCAAGTAGCTTCTTGGGAATAAAAACAATCCTGATTTTTCCAAGTCATTAGAAATAATCAAGTTGGGCTTCAAATTGGGCCTAAGTCTTTACAAATCTCTTGTTAATAAATTGAAATCAGGAGGAAATAGATATTGGCTCCATTAGAAAAGTGGACCCCAAAAGGCATTTAAATTCTCTGAAGTTCTTATGAGAGTTTATGGCAAAGCCTATGGAGAACACCTTTGAAGTCTAAGTCCTCAGCTGAAAGCACATCCCGTTGATGACAGAAAAGACTGATGACATAGGGTACTGGTGTCAAGAACAGCCTTGCCAAGCCTGTTCCTCTTTCCATTCTTTCTTACAACAATAATAAGCTCAGCTGTGACCACTTATTCCCTCTAAAAGGTCTTTATGATAGTTACACGTGGGACCTCACTCTTACTCCTAAAATGATGGCAAATGGTCCATAATAAACTCGAAATGAGTTTCTGAGTATATTTTGTTTACTGTGAGAAAATATTAAAACACTGTTTGAGATATTAGGATGATGCAATTACCAATAATAAAAGAGCTTTCTATGAATATAGTGTCACCTTTTCACCCCCACAAGGGAATACTAGAGCTTGAGTAGGCAACCAAGCCCTCGATAGCTCTCTTAATTGCATTATTAGCAGTTCATAGGGAGTGCTACAAAACAAATATGTTTTCATTAAGTCCCATTTAACACAGAGACAAACAATATTCACAATAGAAATACAAATGGCTAAAGTTTTAATATAACCAACTACGCACATAATCTCATGAGAATCAAGTGACTTAATTTCATTCACAGTACAAACAACAATTATCAGAAATAAATTAAACAGCCATTAGCAAGCTATTACTATAGCATCCAAAGAGTGATTTTCCTTATGGTAAGGAAAGGATTTGTAGCTTGGAAGAATGATCAGAAATCCATGCTCAGGTGAATATTTACTCCTTACTTACTGTTAGATACATGGCTGCATAGACACTGAGAGCTGCTTCTTTGGATGGGAATGTTTTCCTTGCCCTCATGATGAGATCTGGATTCCCAGTACAAGCCTCTTCCCCACTGATGAACTGTGTGTACTGCTGGCATCCAAGTGCTGTGTAGTTGGGCTTACACAGGGCAAGAAAATGTGGAGCCAGGTTTCCTGTAACGACTTGTCCAGCATTTACAAAGATATCTGTTGCGAACAGTCCAAATGTATAAATTCCTGAGGAAGAAAACAAGGAATTTGAGCTCTGTTTATTTGTATATCAACTCACAATAAGCAGAAATGAAAATATTTTAGACACTATAAAATATCTATACATCCATACAACTGGTTCATTTTATTTTCCTCCTTTCCAGTTTCTCCCTTGGTTCTCTGGAGTAGTGAGAGTGTTAAATTATTTAACACATTAAGCTGTATACCACCAGCTACATTTTTATGCATAGCAAGATTATAAGACATAAGATAAAAGAAGAAGATATATTCTAAGACTATGTTTGGGTAATTGATGTTTAAACGGAGACATGTATCCCTTGAGAGGGGATCGTTTATCATGTTTCACTAATGTTAGCAATCTTTATTTTTTTCCTGATTTTGAAAATATTTTTTATCGTACTAACATAAAGCAAAGCAGTTCTCTCTCCCTGAATATGCCTCTTAGGCCCATTCCAATTGGTATTATCTCTGCTGGAAATGACAATTAGAGTAAAATCCAATGCCATCAGTTTTCATTTAAGTATAGTGGAAAATCTTAAGTAAAGCAAACTGCTTTCAGATTAATCTCTACATAGCCTTCAGAAACATTTATAAAAGCACAGAACAGTTGGCAATTTAGTTTCTCCTTCTCTTTTTTAGATTGGCTATTTATTAAATGTGGGACAATTTAGTAAACAATAAAGCAATTAATATTATAATTTTAAATATCTCTATGCTAGTAAAATTTATTCACTTGAAATTACCTGAAGATCTAAAATTAAATATATAGATTTTTGTAAGATGTAAGAATGTTGTTCCTTTGTTGAATACCAAAAATGTGTTCTAAATTCTGAGTCATTGACCACCACTATCAAAACTTAGACAAAAATAAATTCTTTGCTATTAATTTCAACAAACTTACAGATGCAGTCTTCAAGGATGAGACACTGTTGTAAAATTTAATTTTTTATACTTTTGGGAAACAAAAAAAATCAGAATCATTTAACACTATACCAAAATAATACTTCTTTGGTTCAGTGGTTCAGTGTAATTTTATTATAAAACTAGACTTTCCTCTGAGTCATGTACTTCTTGTGTTCTATCTTTTCATCAATATTGTCTATTATGTGGAAAATTACCATGAAAGTTGCAAAGGATCAAATAATTTTCTAACATTAGAGGCATGGTTCTTTAAATTTCCAAATATTATGCAAGATTCAAGAGCAAAAGATTTATACACAAAACCTTGCATGTAGTATCCAAATGTCAATGAAACAAAGACATTAGACGTCCTTTTATCTTAAAATTCTAGTTGCAAACAGTAAGAATACTTTTCTTTATTCTACGATCATGCCAAGAGTTACACATAAAATAAAGATTAGTTAAAGCAGGAGTTTGGGAGGAGCAGAGAAATGAAAAAGAACTGAACTCAATAAGATGTTAATGTATACAATCATCCATTTCAAAATCCCAGGACCCAAGGATAGGAATATAAATTACAAGCTTTCTTTATCTGTGCTCCTTTGAAATCTAGGCTAACATGTACTCATTTTATTTAACTCAACAGTTCTTCTTATCTAACATAACTATTCCTCTTATCTAGAAAAATAGAAGTATTTGATAAGAATATAGAAGTATCTCTTGATACTTGTAAAGTTGCCAAATGCAGTTTAAAATTAAAATGTTAGTGCATCAGATCCAAGAGCAATCTTGTAGTAAACTAAACAGATAATTATTAAAGTGATATCCCACTAGGGTATCTGATCTGCTGACTTCAAGAATAGTCACTATACAAAGTGAAGTCTTATTATATAATAATGTTTCAGTTAAAAGCTTCCATTTCAGTGAAACAAACCAGAAACATCCAATTACAAAAAAGGAACAAGAAAGAAATCAAGCTGTCTTAAATGTTTTATGAAGTCAGATAAGTAATAAATAGGAAAAGGTTTAAAAACACACTTAGGGCCACACATTATTTAGAAATGTGAGTGTAAATTCAGGAAAATATTTTATTTTTAAGTAGACAAAATAATTTGCTTAACAGTATTTAGGAAAGCGTCAATTCATGCTTTTAGTTTTGTATAATTATTGATTATTGCTCATTTTATTATTTTGAATGACTCTCTTTGCAAAGAAAAATGAATCAAGGAGAAAGACTAGGCAATTTTGAGAAATAATTTATAAGATTTCATATAATAGTTATTGCTTCAATAAAATAAGTGAGCATTTTTGAGACACACAACTTAATGGCAATAAAAACATTCAATAGATAGGCTTTTTGTTTTCAGAGACATCTATAAGTCTGAAGGTATCTGGCTAGCCTTTACTGAGTTTATTTATATCTTAGGCCATCTATGCATAAAATCTATAGTTTTCTCATCCTGATCCCCTCAGAAGGAGAAATACATTGAATTACAACAGTATCTCCAATGTATATCTTAATATTGACCAGTTTTATATTTAATGCTATTTAATACATACATATATATAATTTTTATTTTTTACAGTACTGGCATACATATTTAGGACTGCTCTATCACTGAACTACATCCACAATCTTTTTGTTTTTCTACTTAATAATATATTCATTTTTATTTGCTGAAACTAGGAAACAAGTTAATTTTATTGTTTCTGTTAAATAAATGGTTTTGACCAACCTTCTATTGAACTGAAATAATGCTCAGAGTTTTTCAGTGCTCATAACTATTAATGGCAATATTAGAAATTTAAAATTAAAGCACTGATGAACCTAACTTCCAATAAAAACACCAATGTATTTTGTGTATAAGATAGATTAGAAGTAGAGCAGAGTACTATTTATTAAATACAATACATTGTACTTGTTTTTATGGTAGTGAAAATATAACCTAGGTTAGAATTTCTTGTATTTTAAACTTTATAAACATAATAACTCATTTATTTTAATTATGCAATTAGTAGTTTCTTAAAGAATATTAAATATTCAACTATTTGAGGTCATTTTCTTTTTCAATGTGAAATGACTCCTGAAGGGGGCTATTCCAATGTGAGAAAATCATGTGACCATTTTTAAAATGAAATTGAAATATTTCACAAAAATTATGACCAATATTTGCATAGAGTCAAAATATTGTTTCAGCATGAATAAAAACAATTCAAGGAACACATACCAAGAAATCGGACAGTTCGGCGCACCAGTGGATTTATGTAGCAACAGTCTCCAGTTAAAATAGTTTTTTCCTGATTTTCAAAATCTCTTGTTGCAAGTTGTAGGCAAAACACAGCTGTTTCTCCAACTATTATCTTTCAAAGAAAGAAAGATTAAAGAGTATTAGAATATAATCAGTATGAGATTTTTAAGTAAAAACGAAAAACTCCTTTGAATAATAGTCTTGATGTACAACTAAGTCATACTAACTAGACTCTTTTATTATACCTTGTCATATTTACATATATATGTGTATAAACCACATTCCCCTCAATCCAAGGAGATAGTAAAATGATAAATTATGGACAAAAATAGACATTAATACTTTTGTTTTCTGAAAGACTACATTAAAATGGAGTATACAAAAGAATTTGAGGAAAGTACTCAGTTACTTTTGGTGTGTGATTACATTTCATTTTCTTTTAAGTGACTGTTTTATTTAAATTTAACTTCAAGTTGAATCTTTTACAGAATTTGAACATTCTCTGAGAATATTTTTGAAGAAATCTAATATAGCCATACTAATTTAAAATCATACTACTAATTCTGTCAGGAAAAACATACTTGGTCTTGAGATTATCCTATTCTTAATTATTATTAAGAATTCAACTACAATCCTTAATATATTCTTTATATTTTAGAATATATGTTATATGCATCTACATAGAAATCATATAAAGCAGGAAATAATACCTTATTCTTTTTGAAAATGAATAAATAAAGGCTTAGAATTTAAATGACTTGCCCAAGAGGTAGTAAGGAAAACCAGGTTCTGGTGCAGACCAGTTTCTTTACTTGTGAGTTAGAAATATTATATTCTACATGTGTTTGTACCATTTGCAGTTATTTTAACACATACTTTTCAAAATGATCAGCACAAATAGAATTATTTTATTTTATGGGCAAGGAGATCAAAATTTAAGGAAGCTAAATCAGTTTCCTTTTAGACCAGTCAGAACCAGGCAGAAGTTTCTGATTCTTATTTTTTGGTTCTATTTAATACCATAGACAACAGCTAAGGGACTAAAAAGACAAAAAGAAACTGAGGCTAAGAAATAGTACATCTGATAATTTGTCATGCTTATATTTATGCTTAGTACTGTATTTTATTTTACTGTGCTTTGTTAATTATCATGTTGTACTGGGAATTCTTCATATTACAAGGTCCTCAGATTTGAGTGTGTTTCCCAAGTCCATGTGTTGGAAACCCTAATATGAGGTATTAAAGGTATTTGGAGGTAGATCTTTTGGAAGGAAATTAAGATTCAATGAGATCATGAGCTTGAATATGGGCTACAGTTATGGCTTCAATATCTTTGTAAGAAAGATATCTCACGGCTTTATAAGACTCTTGAGATGGCACATGTGGTCTGTCTCTCCATGTGATGTCCTCCACCCTTATAATGCAGCAAAAACGTCACCAGGTACCAAGCAGATACAGTACTAGCACGAAGCTTTTGAACTTCTTAGCTTCCAGAACAAGATAAGTAAGTTCCTACTTTGTATAAATTACCTTTGCTCCAGTATTTTGTTATAGCACCAGAAAACAGACTAGGATATCAGGGAAATGTTTCAGGAATCCCCATGAAAAGTATGATTAGAAGCTATGCAAAGTAGTAAAAAGAAGTAGAGAAGGAATCACAAAAGATTACGTTGTCAAACTACTTTTACCCTAAAGTGAACAACAGACTATAGGGCATCTATTAATTTCAAAGTTTTTTCAGCTCCTTTTCCTCTTTTCTCATTATAACTCTACTATATTTTCATGAAAGTCACGGTTAAATGATAAACCAGAAAAAGATGAGTTAAAGTGTACTATAAGTGCAGTATTGCCTGTCTGGTGTTCTGGGTTGAACATGGAAAAGACTAGGACTTCAGGTTCCTCTTGAATTTTAACTTTACTTTTGATGAAGTAGAGCAGATGTGCTATGAAACAATTCATTCAGGTACAAGAACTATTTGACAAAGTTATGTCAGCTGTCAACAGGACCTTCGGAGAAACCAATACACAAACAACCTGTGCTTGACATTTTAATTCCCTTTCTGAATAACTCTTTCATGTACTACATAGTCTTTGTTGCACATCAAAATATATTATCCCAAGGATGCTTTCTAAATTTTCAGTTTTAGCTTCTTCTAGGTCTGTTTTGCTATAGGATGTTTCAAATTCTAACAATCTGCCATCCACTCCACTTCAAGATTAACCAGGTCTGCAGTGATGGATCCCTTCTTCCAGTTCTCCACAGAAGTTACCGCTGGGTCCCCACACCCAGGCCGACCTCACTTTACAGCATGCTAACACAGTAAACTCTTAAGAATATAGTAGACTATAGGCAAGTCTTATGGAATGTGGAAATGCATCCCATCTTCATACACCTTATTTTGAAAAGATTAGAATGTCCTAGTCTGTTATTGACCTTTTGATAACCAACTTCTACACTGTTCCTGTAACAAAGACTCCACCTGGTACTCAGGTTTTTATAAACAAATCTGATGTCACATTCCTTGACTTGATAATCTTCCTTCCTGGATTCCTTCCAAACTGAGAAATTACTTTCAGAATGAGAAGTGCCTTGCTTGGACCACTCTGCTTGTGCTACTCTTTAATTATCTTTCCTAATGCTGACTTTGCCTGCATCTCAGCATATTTCACACTCTTGCATTTCCTGTTTGTGTATTGTGCATATCTGCCAAAATAATGTCAATGACATTTGGCTACTACTATTAGAGCTTCTCTTAAATCATATTAGGCAAAGCAAAATTTATTCCAGGGCTGGTGACTTATCAGAGAACCTAACAGCAAGGGTTGGAGATTCATATCGATGGAAGTTCTCAAGGGTTCAAGCAGTAGCTCTTAGTCTTCTTATCTCTTCCCTGTTGTCACACTGTCTGTATCTCAGCTTCTCTATGAATGCTTAACTTGTTCTAATTTTCTGCCAGCCAATTTTCCTGCTTTATAGCATACGTGTTTGCCCCCATAAGTCTCTGGAAGCCTTATTTTGGGCTTACCATCTCAGATCAAGGAAACAGTTCAAAATTCCAAATTTCCAGAGGTTCAGTTTCAGGGAGGTGTCTCTTTTGGTCCAATTAACCACGGTTAAAAAAAATTGTGTCATTATATCTAAGAACCAGTTTTCTGGGCACAAAAGCTGTTTCTCAAAAAGAGCAGGGAGTATGCTGTAACCCAATGTCTCTCATCCACCACATCTTTCCATGCCTCTCCTAACCAATTCTCAGTCTACACTAGCCCTATCTACCATGTTCTCTGGATGTGCTCCACATGTCTATTTGGACTTCATTTCAACAAAGGTGTATGCCTGGGCCCCGAGCATCTGCTAGAAAGTGGGTATATCTAATTCACATGCTCTTGTTATCCTACTCTCTAGAATTCATTGTGACATCTATGGAAATCTCCCTCCAACCATGTTCTCTATTACTTCTCCCATCAGATTTCCTGTGTGAAAACTCCCATTGCTTACAATTCTTGGATAAATTAAAACAATACAGTAAAATAATTCTAATTATAATATATAGAGTAAATGCTCTCCGAGGGCAGGACAGACACAGCAGTCAGGTACTGATGTTCCAGGAAAGCTTTATAGTTTAATTGAATGAACAAAACCAAAATAATTATGCAGGGCCACATAGGTTGAGCTTTGTTTGACTGCTGTTTTATTCACAAGTCACTGAGGGCATCTGTGGTGGCTTGTGGACCAGTTCCCAACTGCTCTGGACCCACTGCTGTATCTGTGGCAAGACCATTCCTCCCATCCAATGCCTACACATGATGGGGCACAAAGGCACATCTACCTTCTGAGACAAGGTACGTGCAGCTGGAAATTTGGTTTTAAGATATTCCATAACCTTAATCAAATCTTCCAAATCTTTCTTGGAACCAGGTTATAGTCTAAGGCACTACTCATCAATTGTTCTTCTCCTGTACTGAGATCATCAATCTATCTGAAGGCTCTCCCAGCTTTCTCTGGTTTACCTGCCAACCTTTATCTTTTCCTTGTGTTTGCCCTAATAAATCTCTGGTGTATCTAATTTCATTTGTATTTTCTTCTATAAGAATATAAACCAAACAACATCAAAGACAGGATGTGATCTTAAATACACTTAAATGAAGAGTTGCAACTAGACAAATCTAGAGGTCTCAGAAGCAATCCTAACCACAAGCCAGGGTAAGGAGGGGTGAGGAGGTAGCTTTACCCCTGGTGACTCTCAGCTTGACCTCAGCAGAGGCTGAAGAAGATTGAGTTGGCTTTGGCGGAAAAGGCACATAAGTAGCATTTACTACATGTTAACCATGATCATAATCACTGAAAAGTTATTGATACCAAGTACATCATTAGCAACAAGCATATTAATGCTGATAGCTTAATATTCAGTCTAATATATATATAATCATATGCAATTGATGACATTGCTATTAACTCACATTCTTACCTACTCTTTTTCTAACCTTCCATAGCACTACTCATTGGCAAAACATGAAGATTTTTCATCCTACTTTCTCTCTCCACTTCTGACTAATTTACTATCAGGTGATGATTTCTCTTGAGGTTGAATTCTCTCTAGGTAGTGACTTACAGATTTAGATTCTGCTTTTCCCAATGTTTTGTCCTGGCTTTTTTTTTTCTTCTCCTTCTAGAAGCTCTCTTGGTATATTTTATTCCTCTGAGCCTTATTAACCCTTTCTACTCAAAAGAATCCTAAATATTTATCTTTCTTCTGAATGCCTACTGCCTACTAATGGGCAACATCTTTACTGAAATTCTCACAGCCCTTGCATCTGAAGTATAATCCATGGATCCCCCTAGTTCTTCTGTGGCATCATCTCAGTAAGTCATGCTTCTGTTGAGGATCAAGTTAAAACTCTCAAATCCTAAGATATCAGATTGAACCCTCCATTTCCTTTATGTATCTCACTCTGCCAATGGCTTTATTTGTATTATTAACAAATAATTGTATTATTGTATTATTAACAAATAATTTGTATTGACAAAAATCACATATAGTATGTTATGCAATATGATATGTTAAAATACATAATACACTGTGCAATGGCTAGAGCTAAAATTTAACATATACA